CGCTCACTGCCCGCCTGGGACGGCCAAGCAAGGCGACGCGAGGAGGGATGAGTGTGGAGACAAAGCTGAGGGTTGATTCATCCATCCAGCACCCATTCACTCAGCAAATGTTTACAGGGAAGTTTTAGCAAATCCATAGTTAATTCTTACCAATTCAGTCACTCACTCCGCAGAACATAAAGAAGGATAAACAATTTAAATAGTACAGATGGTTTCATCACCTCTGCCACTTAACAAACACGACAGGAATGACAGAAACAAGATTCCTGAGTCAGTTTCTGATACCCAGGTACCTGAAAGCCGGGTCAAGGCCTAGCCAATAATTTTGTCAGAGGCTTGGCCAGACACTACAAACTTGTTCCAATAAAATTGTATATATTTAACAAGTGCCTATATAACACCTACTGCATGCCAGGCCTTATTCTAAGTATTTACAAATGTGCAAAGTGGGCACTGTTGTTCTACCATTTTCCAGGTGGCAAAATTGAGGCACAGAACAAGTTAGGTTGTTGGGGTCCAGTCCCAGCAGGTCCAGGGGTTCCCAAAGGTGTGGACGGAGTCGGTGAAGAATGAATGACAAGGAGACAGCGTTCAGTTGATCAGCATAACCAGGTTCTCTCTTTATTCTCCTGTTACATCTGTATTTATACCATTTGATCCTATAAGCATGCCTCTGTAGTCACATCATGGTATGTTTTGGGTCCTCCCTTAACCTCCTACAGTTCCTTGTTCATGTTCATAGTTTCTTATCTGACCTTTGCCAAAAATCCTGTCTCTATCTAGTTCTGTTGATTTTATCTTGTCTAGGTTAATCTCTGTGTTCCATTATAAGGGCTATTCCAAGGTCACTACTCTACTGCTCTACTGATAAGCTACAAGGAAGTGACTGAAGGAGATTATCCTCCCCAGTAAAGGTTATGTCCTCCCAGCCTCGCTGGTTGCCTTCCCTGGGACTGCCCTGTGTGGGTCGGTCTCCAGGGGTATAGGCTTTGGTGCTTTCCCTGGTGGGCAGACCCCTGGGGATGTGGGCCCAACAAGTCCCAAATTTATTGCCAACAGTCTTAGTCCCAGTTCTTCATAAGTAGTACATGGTATTTCTGTAACATTAGGGGGTTTTACTGATTCATTCCCCTCCCCAGTCCCGTCAATTCGGAAAAATCCCCATCTGGGGAAACAACCTTTCTCAGGGAGGTGGTTCTGGTTATAACACATAGCGCTAAGAGGGGGAGCAAACATATTAAGAACAGTACGCCATATACGCCAGGTCCCTTGAAACATATGCTATGTAGATGTTTCTTCCCTGCAGCGACTGTGTCAAACAACAAGGATGGACTGGCTTCCGGCATTAGGTTACTTGCCCAAGGAAATAGAGTTCAGTGGTAGAGCTGGGAGTTGCTCCAGAATCCGTTTTGAATCACTGTTCTAAGCCGTTTCGCAGTGCACTGCACTTTCATGGGTGACTTAAGGCATCTCTGTGGTAGGCAGAATTATGTCTCCTCAAAGGTCTTTATATCCCAATCCCCAGAGCCTGTGAATATGTTAAGGTACATGGCAAAGGCCCTAGCCAGTTTTTCTCAGTGGTTAGAGCACCAGCCTGAGGACTTAAGGGTCTCAGGTTCAATTCCGGTCGAGGACACGTACTTCTGTGGCAGGCTCGATCCCTGGGCCCTGGGCTGGGCTTGTGCAGGAGGCAACCAATCACTGTGTCTCTCTCACATCAATGTTTCTCTTTCTATGTCCCTCCCCTCCCTTCCACTCTCTCTAAAACATCAATAGGAAAAATATCCTCTGGAGAAGATTAACAAAAAAAAGTCACATGACAAAGGACAATGAAGTTTGCAGATGGAATTAAGGTTGCTAACCAGCGCTCCTTCTAATAGGAAGCATGTCCTAATGCTCTGAGAGGGACTCCCGGGTCCGTCCACGTGAGAGGACAGTGAGGAGGATTTGGCCCAGTGCTGCTGGCTTCAAAGGTGGAAGAATAGAGCCGGAAGCCATGGGCAGCAGGTGGCTGCTAGATGTTGAGAAAGCAAATTATTGGAGTCTCCCCCAGAACACACAGGAGTCTGGCCTGCTGTTGCCTTGACTTTTAGCCCTTTAAGACCTATTGGAAACGTATGACTTTGAGAACTATAAGGTAATAAACTTGTGCTGTTTTTATTTCTTTAAAAATAATTTATTCATTTCTGATCATAGGTACAGGGAGGGTGAGAGGGTGATGCCCGTGATGCAGCGGGCCCACCCTGCCCCCAGCGTTGGCTCCTTCCTCTCTGTGGCACAGTCCAGCACCTGAGCATGCGGGAAGTTTAAACTTGAGATTTCCAGCTTACTTGTAAATACTGAAACTGAACCAGCTGTTCCAATGGCTGATTTCCCAACACTCTCATGAATGAGTAGGTCACAGGCAAATTATGACTGCCTAGCTCTCGGAGCCGGTTAAACTCTTTAAAAGGCCTTTCTTCAGCCAGTGACTAAGACGTCCTCTGTGTTCCCTGCCTTCCAAGTCCACATGCCTGTGGCGCCAGATGGTAGTTCCTGGGGGTCCCCACTTCCTAGGTGATGGGGGAAGGCAGGCGGGCATCCCCACTTCCTAGGTGATGGGGGAAGGCAGGCGGGCATCCCCACTTCCTAGGTGATGGGGGAAGGCAGGCGGGCATCCCCACTTCCTAGGTGATGGGGGAAGGCAGGCGGGCAACCCCACTTCCTAGGTGATGGGGGAAGGCAGGCCGGGCGAGCGTGAGGAATGAACAGTCAGTTTGACTGGGCTCAGACCAGGAGTCCAGGAGCTTTGAGGGCCTGAGTGTACCTGCTGGTTTTCTTTTGCGCGTGGTGTTCGCCCGTGTCAGTGGCCTTGTGAGCTCTTCTTCCTCCAGTGAGGGTCTTGGCCTTCTCCCCCAGGGCAGCTGTGATGCCTGGCATTCCAGAGCCTCATGAGCCCGACACCCCGGGTAGGCAGACGTGCGCAGGCAACAGGCGCACGACCTCGGGGAGGCAGGGACCACATCGGATTTCTCTTGTCCGGGTGCAGGTCCCGTTGATGCCTGGAGGTGGTCCTGGGCGGTGTGGCCACTTGGTCCTGTGGGGCACATGCCTCCTCCCGTCGGCTTGGAAGTGGTGGGGCTGCGGGAAGGGTTGGTGTTCATCTGCTTGTGGAGGAGGGCCAGGCACCTCAACTTGTTCCTGTAGAAATTGCCGGAAGTGTAGATGACCTCACAGACCACAACCACCACCTTCCGGTCCAGTACACCGGGTAGCTGTGGCCCGGGAGATGGCTTCGGCCGCGGAGCACACGGACCTGCCCCTCCGGCATCGCAGGCAGCTGCCTGAGAGAAAGCTGTGCTGCTGGAAGCCACCAGGCGGTAACGTGTTACAGGCAGCAATTAGGAACTAATAAAACCCTCAAGGGTGATTTTCACTACAAGCCACTGGCTCTGACTTCCTCCTGGTGAAGATGTGACTCAGCTCAGGATGTGAGCCTCCGGCGGCCCAGGCATGGAAAGGCTGTCCCTGCCTCCAGGAGGTGCAGCTCCACAGGGGGAACTGCTCACAGGGAACACCACACAGGGCAGTGCCCGGTGCAGCGAGCACAGAGGCCCACGTGTGGACGCGTCCCGCCTGGAGCTGCCAAGCCGGCTCCATCCCTGACCCCTCCTGAAAACGGGCACACATCCCACAGTTTCTCCAACACTGAGCCTTCTCTGCAGAGCAGGCCATGAGCGTGGCTGCTTCCAGGTGCTGTGAGCCTGTGACGTGTGAGCACTGCGCTTGCACAGCTGAGCTCAGTACCTTGAGGCGCTGTTACTATTCTCTACAACAGCGGTTCCCAACCTGGGCTGCACATTAGTCACCTGGGAATCTTTTTAAAATCCTGGTCTCTGGGCCTCATCCTCCGGAAATTCTGTTTCTTATGTTGTGGCCCTACCCCCTAACAAAGAAACAGAATTTCCGGAGGGTGAGGCCCAGAAATCAGGATTTTAAAAAGCTTCCCAGTGATTCTAATGTGCAGCCAAGGCTGAGAACCACTGCACTAGAAGGTGGAGGAAGGCAAGGACGCCTACTTTTCCACGGAGGAACCCAGATGCAGCACCTGACCTGGGTTTTGATGAATGAGTAGGTGGTCCTGTGTGGACGGGGGGTGCGGGTGGGGGGGGGGCATGGGGGGCGTTCTGGGGAGCTTTCGGGGCTGAGACCACAGCACCTGCCAACAGGGAGGTGTGATGAGCAGGACCCGTTTACAGAACCACCAGACTCTTGCCTGACTATTAAGGTGGGAGGGGAGGGGGCAGTGAGGCTGGTCAGACATGAAGGCGATTGCACAGCCCTTTGGTGTCATTTACGGATAATATAAATCAGTGGTCTCATCCTTTCATACCTGTTTTTATAACAAGTATTTCATATTAGCCCCTAAAAAGGGCTCTGAGAGCCACAAGATTAAGGTTAAGGGTTCGGACCTACAAGACTGTCCCCTCCCCCCTGCACGTTTAGGTCGTCACCTGTGCTTCCGACTGACTGGCTGCAGGCCGGAGGTTCCAGGACACGCACTCTCCTTGGGTTCAAATAACCCAGTTTGAAAACGCAGGCTCTGAAGTCAGATCTGGATCTGAGGCTGAGCTCTGCGAGCCTCCTCCCAGCCTCTAACCCACCGAGGCCACAGCCTCTAACCCAGGAGGGGTCAGAGGACTCAGAGACACTTGTCTGAGAAATCAAAGGTCAGTGTTTAGGAGAGAATCATGCTGTTCAACCGGAAACTGCTCTGCCGCCCCCAGAAGACACAAAGGGCGGGCAGATGCTTTGGACCGCGCGAAGGGGGCTCTGAGGAGAAACAGGAGACGCAGGAGCCATTGTCTTCCAGAA